TCTTGAGATCTTAAAGTTTCATTAGCTTTTTGTTTACTGTTTATCCGAATATTATAGGCTCGAACGATTGTATCAATTAATTGATCAAACTCTGTATATCAATTTAGATTTACATATTATCTATTTCTAGTCTTTTCGTCATTGAAACAGTCTAACAGGCTTACATGAAGATGAGCCTTGGTCTTACACACAGAGTCTTGTAATCACATGTTAGCTTATTACTATTTATTAAACATTTTACTTACGAAAACGCTACAGAATATGTAAATTTAGATGTTTTATTGACATAAACATAGTAAAGTCCAACTAAATTAATAATATTAACTTGATAATACATTAAAGGCATTGTCAAGAAAGAAAGTGATAGTCCCCCGTCTTGGAATGTAAGAGTTACAGATTAAAGACAATCTACACAACGTTATCCATTATTCAAATAAAAAAAATACTTTCTACTGATTTTAAACATTTTTTTCTATTTTAAATAAAAATGACACGTTTGAATGAGACTAATTTTTCTGATAACCGATCAGATAAATCATTATGGTATGATTTCTTTGATGAATTAAAGCAGTGTAAACGGAACACGAATAATTATTAAAATCAGTCTATAAAAATCAATATACAGTAACGTTTCTAAAACTGGTCCGATATGAACGATTATTTTATAGGTTTTTTTTTTTAAGAAATTTAATAATCTTTTAAAAAAAACCCCAATGAAAATTTGAAGAGTTAAATGCAAAAGTATATTGGTTCTACCGACTCTTTACATATAGTAGCTAAAACTTTCTAGTATTAGTTGTCTTAATTTTTATTTTTTATTCACAAATACTTATTTTGTACAACACTACTAAAATGCCAAATTTCCAAAATATTTTCCTCTAAAATTTAGTTATTTGAAATAATTAATCGTTCCTAATGGTTACTACTAACGGAAAGATTATATATATGTAAGCCTGAAGTAATTTAACTAACGGAGAAGAAACAAAAAAAATTCTAAATTAGTTGTACAACATATTGTTAGAAAAATAAGAACTCTAAACGTAATAATATGTATAATCGTAAAAGGTAGTAGAGTTTAACAAATGAATAATTGTTCTTGAAAACTACTATTATTTAACTATTGTTTCCATTCAGACCAGATTAAAATTCCAAACTATAAGTTGGATAAAATTACTTTTAAGATTCACCAACCAAATATATATAATACAACAAATGTTCATTCAGATATTGTGTAAGATTTATCTACCATATTTTCTTTAGAGAAGACTAGGAGTGGATGCCGCTGAAAATTTTTCAATCTATGTAAACGCGTTTACAAAACTAATTTTAATAAATTTCCTTTTGTCTTATAACTTTCGATTCTATAATAAAAATATTAAACAGCCTTATTTAGACATGAATTTAATTATTAAAGTATTACGCTACTGATATTAATCGGACGTTCCAGAACGTCAAGTGGACCATTTTGGTATAATTGTCTACCCCTCATGGCTAACTGTAGATTGCCGCCGCTTAATAATCAGAGTGGGAGACGATTCAATCCGAAAAATAAATATTAACTGTACCAGGTGGAAATCGTACCCTGAAAATTTCAAATCGGGCACTCTAGAAATCTCGCCATAACGAGCTTCTTGCGAAATGAAGTTCTGTTAGTTGTGTAATACACAAGCTACAACAGATTTCAATTGTCTTTGAAACTAGAGTTTAGTTGCTGTGATGTTCCGGTTTAATACTTAAGGAATTGTCTTTAAGGAATATGTCATAAATCGTCTTAATTTTCATAATAACTCATACTATACTGGAGCGACTAGAAATCGCCTGACGTTTTCGACTACTACAGCACTTACTACACAAACACTCTAAACTTCCAATTATTTACAAAAGACTGATATATATATTACAATAATAAGGCCTATTTGGACTTACGGGACCGAGCTTTGGGGCGCTACTAAACAATCCAATTACTCTCGTATCCAATCCTTACAATATCAAAATCCGTCGTAAAATCCTCAATGTTCCTTACTTCGTCACAAATAAAATCATCCATAACGACCTTAATGTAACACATGTTTCCAATTTAGCTCAATCCAGATACCTATTCTGCCATAATAAACTTCTGAACCATCCGAACCCTCTTGTTTCTAACCTTGCTACCTCTTCTAATCCTAACAACCCTCCGAGGTGTCTGAAAAGAAGATGGACTCGGCACCTTCTAATATAGAACTATAATTGGAGTGCTACCAATGGGTAGTTTCTCTTCATGTTGTACATATCATGTTATGATTTACTTCTTGTATGTTTCATGTAATACAGTTGTAAATTTCAATAAATATATTTTAAAAATGAAATCATAATCAGCGGTTTGAATGTAATCTGTTTCAGCTGCTCTAACGCTCTTACCCTTTTTCTTCAGTTAACTTTGAAATGTTTTAAAATAATTTATTGTGCGTACTAGAGTGCTTCTCAGCTTTGGCCCAGAATTTCTATTTTGGTTGGAGAGCTATGTATCCCACAAAATCTTATTATGTACAAAATGCATGAGTGATAATTAACATACTCAACATAATTATTGTAAAACGAACGAGTACTACTAGTACTATATATAATACTAAATTCATATCTATGTTTATATATTAGTTTATTCCCTAAAGGTATATTTGAAAATACTAAAAAATATTTGAATATTAACAATGCAATTGAATATATTACATATTTTTATTTCTATTTAAAAGTTAGAGGCCGTGCGATGAACTCTTGATGCTTCAAATTGGTCGCTGGAAATATGATAAAATCTTAATAAAAAAATAGAATAGTCAACATGAATGAATCATAAAAGCATATAATATATTGCTACATATAATTATCTTTGAATATATCCTAAAATTTCAATTGTAGGAACATACTGCGAGGTAATATATTTTAGTACCTACTTCTAAGCTTTATATTAGTTATATAGCGGATTTTTCCTAATTTCTAAATTGATTTCAGTTTATATATTTTATTCATTCATGTAGGCAGTGTATGGTAGGGATTTTAGGGCGATAAATCGCTGGATTATTACGCCCGTTCATTCATATAAAATAATTGTTATTGATTTTAATTTTGTTCTTCGAAATATTTCGGGGAGGAGAAACGATATTCTCACTCCTCTCTATTTTTATTGGAGATGATTGCCTCCCTCGCACCCCTCCGTAAAAAATATGAATATTTAAAGTATTTATAATTACCTACATATATATTGTTGGCAATACATTTTATCACACTACAGATCGGTGGCTCACATGTGACGTATATAAAAAATTTTGAAATAGAAAGAAAAAATTTAACTCAACTGAGAATTTATAAATCGTTCAACTTTTTGAGTTTTTAAGCAGACACACTAAATAAAGTGCAATAACGTATTTCAGGTTTATGGACTGTTTTATTTATTTATTATTTATAATACGAGTTGTCACCAGAAAAGTTTTTTGATCAGCAGGTATTAGATTTCATTCGTAGTCATTTCATAGGAAACGATTTGCTCTCCAGTAACTTATTTTATTAATATTTACATCTTTTCGCTGCGAAACGAAAGTTTCCTTGATCTTTTTTCCTGGTTTCTCATAAAGATTAATATATAATATATATTTCTCATGAATATTAGTTAGCTGAGAGGGGGTAGAGATTATCAGCACTCTCTTTACAAGCTGAATAATTAATAAATAGTTTTAACCTTAGGTTTATTAAATTAAAATTTCTGAATATATATATATATATATATATATATATATATATATATATATATATATATATATATATATATATGATATAATAACCATTAAACGTAACAGTTTATTGGTTTGTATAACAAAGAAAGTCAAGCTTCAACCAAACTCCAAGTAAACTTAAACTTATCAAGGAAGATGTTAGACCTTGGAATTCCTCTAGTCTCAACATTGGCAGAGAGGAAGTTGTCCTTACCCGGCTCAGGATCGGACAATCAAGATTGACCCACCTCAACTTAATCACCAAAGTTGCTCCACCTAGATGCAGTGCAACATAGCTCACATTTTTCGTTTTATCGTGGCAAATTAAACGATATAGGGATATAACAAATCATGTCAATAGCCTTAGTAAGTAAGTGAGACAAGTTTAAATTTAATAAAAGTGTTATATTAATAATAATAATTTATATTTACAATTTCCTTTTATTTATTTCTTCCCTTTATATAATAAATAGCTGACGTTCCCATCGTTGAATGGTGCATAGTTAAAATTTGAGAATCTTTTTTTGTGATGGCCATTGCCGAGCTTACCCCTGACAAAATTTCGTTGGACATTGCGGACATCCAGGCAGACAACAAATTTTTTAAAAGTGAATTTGGTGTCTGTAATGTATAAAACAGAAAGATATCATCAAACGGGTTGATTCTATTCAATCTACAGACAAAATCTTTATTTTATTTATATAGATGATAGATTATTAAAAATAAAATTATATTTTTTATTTGTATTCATCTATTACTATATAAAGGGAAAAAATAAATAAATGGAAATTATAAATATAAATATGTATTATTATAACATATATTTGTATTTTTTATTTTTATTTTATCTATTATTTTTTAAATTATTTTATTTATTTATTTATTATATATGTATTTTTTATTAAACATACCAACCAAATATTTTATTAATTGTGAGCCGATTTCGTAGATGTTTTGCGCCTAAAATATCAATAAGCAACCAACCAAGTAACAGTCAATACTTTTCTATTTTCTTCTTCTTTGTTTTCAATACTTTTACTATCTTTTGTTTTATCCTTAACTTTTAATCTCTCTATATATAACATTTTTGTTATCTTGTTAACCTTTTGTAAATGGAGCAGTATATAATAATTATATTATGTATTTTATAAATTTAATAAAATATTTGTCTAAATAATATGAATTCCAACAGAGGCTGGGGAGGGATATGGAGAGGGGGGCGGGGCTCCCTGGCTAGCCCCGACCTGTGACGTCATGATCCTCGTCACCATTCTCGTCCTATCCGCCTCTTCTCCTTCCAGGTGAGAAATATATATTTAGTAATATATATATATATATATATATATATATATATATATATATATATATATATATATATATATATATATATATATAATATTAAGTATTGAAGATTAATTGTTAAGTATTTAATATTAATTGTTCTAAAGATATTTGCTTTCCGTTATGTAGATAATTATATATATATATATATATATATATATATATATATATATATGAACTATATATATATATATATATATATAGTTCATTGAGTTGAATGATATTAATTATATATATATATATATATATTATATATATATATATAATTAAAATTAGGTACATCATTTTAATAATTTAAGTTCAATCACTCAACTCAATGAACTTGTCATTCACTAATCTTGCATAACACTTCCTAAACAGTAAGTTAATCTTTTTCAAAGAGTTGACTGTTGAGTCATCAGATAGATATCGATCTCTGATGATGTTGAATAAAGAAATTGTTCCTGAAGCGTCGTAAAATAAGAGCTAAGTACAAAATAAAATTACGAGAGACCATCTCTCACATAAATTATAAAAAAGATCTATTGAAGTTAATACTACAAAGAATATTAAACACATATATAAAACATAATTAAGATTTATATATATATATATATATATATATATATATATATATATATATATATATATATATATATATATATATATCAATAAAGAAAAAAGAAGTTACTAAAATAAAATAAATTAACTATAAACTATTCATTAATGATTATTCTATTTATTACCCAGCGGTTAGAGTAATAAATATAAATTACGTTTCCTCATCCTTCAAAAAATTAGTACAAATCAAAGTTTTACCACGAAATCCAGATATTTCAAATTGCCATCGGAACTTCAAATAGTTGTAGTATCATAGGAACCTTTGAATATGACTTGTCATGAAGATTTTTAAAGTTGAACTTATTTTTTAAATATAAAACTATTTGCTTAGACAGTGTACTTTTTTAAATGGGATTCAGCTGTTTTATCAGTGCTTTCTTCTGCATATTTTAAATTACTGGTGAGAACATCTAATAAGTTCTGGATTTGAGATACCTTCACTTTTGCAGATCATGAAAAATTCGAAAAATCGGCCTTTGTACTAAAATATACCTTTGTACTGGTATTACCAAATAATACCACAGTAAAATAATAATAATCGCAAGTAACGGAAAAGCAAATATCTTTAGAAGAACAATTAATAAATCTATTCAGCACGAGGGTTTTTCCTCAGATCCCTGAATTATATTTTATATATCTCACTCGCTAAATAATGATTGTGGGACTCCATTGCCTGAGGGTTCCATGTTTTCTGTTTTTTCCTGAACAATCACAACCAATTCATTCGAAATAAACTTATTTATCTGTCTCTCAGATATTATTTATCTTTCTCTGTATTTTTATTTTTATTGAGTAAACCTCACGTTGAACAAAATTGAAACACCTTTAAAAATATTTATATTTCAGTTTATTCTTTTTATAAATAAAAAAAAGTAGTTTTGGTTGTAATAATTAGTAAAAACAAATCACACCTATTTTTTAATCAGTTTTACGAGAAAAAGATGCGGAAAAATTAATATGTACAAAATTAGTTTTATTCTTATTTTTAACTTCTTAATTGAAAAATTATTAAAATATGTCTCAAAGGACATAAATAGTGTTCAGAGATCATATTTACATTGTACAACAAATAAAAATAAATTATACAGAAAAATAAAATATATATACAATAAATAAGATAAATTAATCTAAAAATAAATAAAAAAGGACACATTTATACCACAAAATTAGTAAACTTTTTTCGTTCGAAACTCAGTATAGAATAGAATAGAAAAATCATCGTTAATCCGAGAGAAATTCCCTTAAGAATTACAATATTGATCATAAAAATTAAAATTACATCTGGCTAAAATACATATTATAATAAAGGAATAACTAAACCATAAGTAATAAGAGAAGTATTTACATATCTATACAGATATATTAAAGAAAAAGATGAGCAAGGAGGTCACAATACTGCAAAATAGTTGCTACAAACAACAAAGTATGAAATTGGAAAAGAACGATCAATTATTACTTTTGTTGTCAAACCGTTGCAGTAATAACAACAATAATAATAAAAAAGTAGATAAATATTTGCAATAACTGATTTACATCGGTACGTTAATGTGTCCAATTGAATACTTATCATAGTATTGTTAACATTGGAAAAGTCTTATATAATTTATATCCTAAGATGAACAAGAGAAAACAATAGAAAAAATATATAATATACATATAGATGAGTGCGTTCAAGATTAGTAAACAATTAAATACATCTCATACACTTAAAATCTTATAAATAGAAAAAAAAACAAGAAAAAAATAAAAGAGATAGCTCCATGACTTGGTCTGAATTATTAACCAAAACAAAAACATATAAGTATCTGGTGTCAAATGAATGCATCAAAAGTTCAGTTTTGTACTAGTTATAAATAACAACACGATATAAATAACAAATCAATATTTTGCCAATTTAATTAGTGAAATATCTTAGGTAATTAAGATATTTATCATTGAGGAAAAGAAAATTATTTTTCCAATATCTTCAAAATAATTGTTTTTCTCCGGCTTTTAACCACTCTGCGGCGTTACACTGAATCGACTAAAAATCAAACTAACTTTACCCAGCAATTAATTATAGCTTTGCTGTTGAAACCCAAAAGTGATAAAAACTTTTATTAATAAAAAAAAAGAAAAGTTTTTTGATATTTTGAACAGTGAACGAAAACAGTCCATGCTGTCAATAAAATAAAACAAATTAAGAAAAAATAAAAACTGGAATTAAGTTTTTAGAAATGTAGAGTTAATAGACATATTATGTTCTAATAATGTATAAATAATAAAAATGAACAATGTATTTTCTAAAATTTAGAAAAATTTTAATTACCAGTAATTATATAATAGGCAAAATGGGTTCTCCTGATAATAATCTCAATAGAATCTCGTAAGCCTTTACTGTAAATGGGAGTTCAAAAGCTGAACTACAAGGACGTTGACCCAATGTGCTCTAGGTGCAACGTTCCGGAAATTGCTGAACAAGTACTGTTAATAACGACCGGCAACAAGTTTGAGAAGTTAAGAAACACTCCTGAAGGATAGAGGAATTTAAATCCGACCAGAAAAAAAGTTTTCTTCATGTAGGAAGAGAACTACTAGCTGTGTGTCACTGTGATATATTTTTTTCCGAGTAAAAAGGTGACTGTGGGTGTCCCTGGTCAAGGAATTTAACATAATAAGTGTACATAACTGAAGAACAAGACGATACGTTGGACTAAACCTCAGAACTAAAATTTATAACTTCTATAAACGTTCGTTGACAAATATAGCAAAATAAATGCTGGAATGCAGAAAAATAACTGAATGGTAGGAGTACCTTAATTGTCTCTATATATGTAGAATAGTGTTGATTATGGTTTAGACTCTATGTAGCAGTTTAGACTTTGGAAAGTGTCGACCGAATCTACAGAAAAACGAATTTCTTAGCAAGTTGAAGTATGGATTATTTATGTATTTATTTTATGAACCATTTTAGTTCATTCAATATTTTTAAAAATTAACTACCTAAAATTTTTATGAAATAGATAAATTCTCGTAAGATCCCACGTTTTATTCTTTCGTTTTGTTTATCCATCTAGTATTTTTTTTCTTCTTCTTTCGTCTATTGTGGTATAAATATATATATTCATTTCAAGTTGAGCATTCTTGTGACGAACCAAACTAAATATTGCAGTCATATTGGTTTGTGTATAATGAAAAATCAATCATTTGTGGATTTATCACAATAAAGCTGCATTATAACTACAAACAACCATCAACGGACTCGCATTGGGCAAATAACACATGAAGAAAATTAAATGTTTGCGATATCTATCGTGTCCTCTTGTTTGTTTGGCGAATAGTATTTGCGTTTTGTGGTGTACAGAATTTTTTATTTACGAAACTGGACTTATGAGGATTTCATCCTGGATTCTTTTAATTTATATATGCAATAATATCTAACAACAAATATAACATCGTTATTACTAAATAATTACAAATATTATGTTTCGTGAAACATTTTAATGACTTCCGAAAATTTTATATTAGTCTTCAAGAGCTTCAGTCATAATGGGAAACATTCTGTAGCCGTTGATTATCCGTATCCGTTGATTATGGATTGTACCACTATTAGTTATAAAACTGCTATTTTCCATTGCAAAGTTTATTAAAACGGAATTGAGAGATTCGCATTGTCTGTCATAGACAGGTCAAAATTTGTCTCACTAATAGTAGGTTAGGGCTACTCAAGTGTCTTTCGCACTCAAGTTGGGGAGCTGTTAGAAACCAAACATCGAAACACGCGACAATAATTGAAATTTTGGAACTTATTTGGATCGGTAACAGAGCAGGAAATAAAACAGATTTTATCTGGGCTCCGTCTCATTGTGGTATACAGGGCAACGAAAAAGCAGACGTCGCATCCCGAATAGCCCGAAGTAATGTCAATAATGAGGTAAAATCCATTAATTATGTTATTCAAGAGGACTGGGTGAGGCAAGCAAAATCCTAGATAATAGCTCAATGGAATGTGACATGGAGAAGAAACCCCTCGAAACTTGTTCAAATAAAATCAAATATTGCTAAATGGTGCTCTAGTTACAGAAAAGAGGAAATAATCCTGAATTGGACATTGCGTATTTTCAAACGGTTACTTCTTCCACGGTTGAGAGCCACCTGCCTGCGTCAGATGTGGTTTCCCAAGAACCGTGAACCACATACTCGTGGATTGTGAATACTATGCACCCACAAGAAAAAACCTCAACCTACACAGTACTCTTCAAGAAATACTACAAGATACCGAGAAAGATGTGGAAGTTCTGATGAGCTTTTTGAAAAAAATGGGATTCTACAATAGAATATAGGAAACTGGAGTTAAGAAAGAATTCAATCCTTACCAATG